AAACCGTACAAACCTTCGGCTTCCGGGAAAAATGCTTTTGTCATTTCTTTCGACTTGATATTCATAGGTAAATCAATATGCAAATGACTCTCATTTGATTTATTTGTTGCTGCTTTTACTGGTGAATAAGTTATTTATAGTGTACCTACATAAACAGGTTTGCACGGTCCTCTACATTGATGTACTGATATGGATGAATCACTAAACAAATGTAGACAATCCCGTTGGTTATTGCAGCTATTGAAAAACGAGAATGGTGTGCGTTACACTAAGTAATTAATTCAAATCGTAATGGCATTGTTCTCTAATCGTTCGATTCGCATGGAATTGGCAGGAAATGTTTAGATTTCATTAATAGGAATATGATGAGGACCAAAAGTAAGGTCAATCGCCGATAGGAATATGGGCACAATAGCCATTGGCCTTCGTCACCGTTTCGCTGGCTGCTCCTTTTGTTTATGGCGTGCGCCCGCGCACCGGTCCGCAGGGCTGTCGGCCATGAAATCACCGGTCCGAAAGAAAGTAAGGGGTTTTAATTGTAATAACTGTTAACTTGGATTGTAATGCGAGCAAAAAATGCCTTAACAGTATTCATATTAAATAGTTTTGGTAGGTATTTCAAAAAGTGGAATGACTGTTTTACATTTTCTTTTAATTTGACTTCCATATCCTAATTTTCTCGCGGAAAACGCGTGCCTAATCAAGGAACCACTTAACCTAAGGGAAAAGTCACCTGAAAATCGTGCGGTATCGAATGAAGAAAGATCTTCTAATCAGAACACTGCAGACATGCTCAAAAGTAGTCCGATTGGTTCCTATCACTAAATAAATCGTATTTGTGCTGCGATGACAACCTTTTGGAAACCCTGAATCCACAGGACCCTCAGTTTCCCGCCAAAATTCGTGCTAACAGACTTTTTGATGCATGTTGCGCATCCGGCACAGGGCGCGAGGTCATATTTAATTGTTTTACGTAATGACAATTGTTCACTTTTGGAGCGTGCTCCGTGTGAATGAACCTCTATTGACTCACTATTTCATGGTGTTACTAAACTTTGATGTAATTCTGCTATATAAATTTTGGCATCATTAAAAATAATTAATGTAAGAAATTTGCAGTCATTTGTTATTTAATTGTCCATTATTATCCATTATTGCATGAAATGTCTGAGTGGAGCACAATCATCTGCTGTTGGTAGGTACATTTAGTTGTTACAGAGAGCTCGCATTTTTGGTACATTGTCCAGGGTCAATACTTTACTCATTTAAGTTTTGTAATGTCAGCCAGAATTGAGTTGTTAATTGTTATTATTCTCATTGTTCAAATGAAATAAGTAAAGGACAAAATGAAAAAGAAACAAAAGTAGGTACCTAAATAGCGTTGAATCTTTAAGTACCTATATTAGGTAATGTAGAGACTGTTAATCCAATGAAATAACAATAGATCCAATTTGTTCGGCTCAATGAAGCTGCAGTACCACTGAAGACATAGTGGGTTGTTATTCTCACTTGTTTTTATCTTTTTGCTTACGATTCGCTCATCGAGTCGGTGTGAAGTTACGAAATTCATGGTTCACAAGACATGTTTTTTACACAAATATTATTTAATATCTGAGACGATTTGTTATAGTTATGAAAGATTATTCAATAAACCATTTCAGACCTGATGCCATTGCATAATTGTATGAAAAAAGAGTTAGATCCGTATGTTTGCGTCACATTGTTAATCTGGATTAAATCATTAGGTAAGTAGAGTCTAGATCAAACATTAGATAAAAGGAACGCCATAAGCGTGAGAAGACACGTACTCTCTAAGGCCCATTAAGGCCACAAGCCTATAAGGCTGCATTTCCAGTAATAATAGTGCGAGTATACGCAGCGGCTCTACATACCTAGATAATAATCGTAATAAGGGTACTGACAAGGACTTAAAGCATTTCTGACAAGGATTGAACACCTGATCGAGTATCTTACTTAACCTGTTGGTAGCGGCCTGCGTTCAGCGCTTTCCTGCTTCCTTTATGATGTCGTCGTCTTACTTAATGCTAAATCATATCGGTAGACTCTACTGATACTCTACATCCATGGTCTAGGAAATAAAAGTCTGACAGTGTTTCCATCTGAACAAATGTTTTGGCATCGTCTCTATCTTTATTGTCATATTCTTCGAGTACTAGGCTCATAATAAAGGCCATTAGCGGGGTTTTTATAAAATTGTTAACTCTGCTGATATTTTTATCTTTGAAAGAACAGGGCTTATTTCACAGAAATCAGTGGATAGGTACGCACCCTAACGCTTGCGTGACGAATGACAAAGAGACAAAACAATATCAAAACGGCAATTTGTAAAACATGAATGTAAATGAAAATTTCGATTAGCCGAGTAAATAGGTAAGCTCAGTCATCAAAGGGAGATTGAAGACATTGTTTCCACGGGCAGTTAGCAAATGCTCGACTTGACACGCGCTAGTTATTTGAAGATAACCTACAAAACCGCGAATTAAGGGCGAACTCTTGTAAACATTGGTTTGTTAGCTTTCTTTTAATACCTTGAAAGTCGTGCGAAGAAAAGAGTTAGTTAATTGATTTTCTATTGAGTCTAGTGCAGACATCATTATCATCATCTGTCATCACAACTACTTAATAATAAAGCTGCAGAGTTTAAGGGTCAATTTCCCAAACACATTTTTTGAGCGGCGTAGCTGAAAATCATATGTTTTTTATGACATAGAACTTTGATTTTTTTTTACACGAAAATATACAGAGGTTTCATTTTGAGGACAACATTATTAATGAGATATTTCTTTTACAAATTCGACAAAAAATAATTGAACTAAGCGTTTCTAATTTTGGTGCAGTGTCCACATCCTTAATTTCTTACAATTATGTATTTTTTTAGCTGAAGATCAAAACAGAACTTAGGGAAAAAGTATATTTTTGGATTATACAATCTATCTATTATCTAAGATTACCAAATTAAGCAAGTTTCCCAAATAACTGTGATTAAGTCACGTCCTTAAGTTTTGTCCGCGAAAAATTTATGATTTTGGTGTCAATAATGAAATAGCTCGTCAGTTTCTTTAAAGATCAAACAGGATTTAAACACTCCCATCATTCGTTAGGTTTAGTACCGCCCCCGCGAGCAGTGACGGCAGACGGGTGCAAGACCTCTGCGTCTTCCCGCCAAAAACGTAAATGTGTTGTTTTTTTTTAAACGGACAACAATTCCGTAATTTTGGTGTCTTTTTGTATAAGATTTCTAAGCTATTCTTTTTAGTTGAATTCCTCGTATAATGTAAAGGAACTGTTTTCATACCATGTGTTAAAATGTTATTGTTATATTTAAAACAGATTTCATATAATTTAGCTTTTTCAACGAGAATCTAATTTTGGTGAGTCAATTTTGGTGTTTTTGGTGGTGCACCAAAGCATTTTTAACCGACTTAACTCCGTCAATTGTGAACCGATTTTCAAAATTCTTTTTTTGTTCTATAGGGTACACTTATGTGGTGGTCCCATTGTCACCAAGTCAGGATCTGATGATGGGATCCTAGGGAAATCGAGAGTAAACCTCAAATTTTGTAGGAATGCAATACGTTTTCTAAAGTTATTCAAGTAGTCATCATCTAATGTTGATGAGGTGATGATGGAAGGTAAAACTCCTTAACGCTTAGGAGTTGGAGGATAATTCTTTAAATATTTTAGGTAGGTATGTACATACAGTTGTATTATTTCAGGTATTTAAGATGAGCTGATGATGAAAGGTCAAACAACATAAGTTAGGAGTTAGATGATACTCAATACTCATTTGTTGATACATACATTGACACATGATACATTGATACTTTTTAGTTGCCGATATTTAAAGTAGGGAGCCTGTATTTTGCTAGGAAGATTATTTACACTTGGATTGTGATTAAGACTATAATTTTCCATTACAAAATGGAAAATTATAGTCTTAATCACATTAAACATAGGTACTGTCCCTCTTCAGTGACAATAACAAGGACTAATCAACTAAAAAGCATGAAAAAAAATAATTTTAACAAAAAAATTAAAACCGACGCCAACAATCACTTAAAAGTAGAAAATAAGTACGTCGTTATTTATTTATTAGGACAATATACCATGATTAATATTTTTGGAGTCGGTGCTGGTAAATTTAAAACCATTTCTTGAGCTTGGCACTAAGATATGACCGACTGACAGCATATTTTCTAATTTTGGTGCTTTAATATAAATTTTGGTGTTCTCTTAATTTTGGTGTAAGGAAAATCTAAAAAACTACTGGACAAAATTTAATGTCTTAATCATTTTAGAAACAGTATAAGTTTCCAATAAATTTGATCTATAATTAAAGAATAAAAATACACAAATAAGAATTTCCACCAAAATTAGGCAAAAATATGCACTTGTTGAAATTCACCCTTAACCTGATGTGTCATCAATTTGTCCTACCTACATACGTACTTACATAATACTTACTAACATAGGTTACCTAGTTTTTAAGCTAAACAAGACAAACTTTTAGCTTGTTAAAACATGCACGAACATATTAATTGTCTAATGAGCTGTTAACAAGGCATGCACTTTTGTTGACGATGTCTAACTCAGCAACGAACAATTAGGTAAGTAGTTAACTTACTGTTTCAAACCAAAATGTAAATAATTATGCAACCTGGAGATATACTTTCATTTCAATAAAACGGGGATAGGTAATAACAAAGGGTGAATCGAAGGCCCTTAAACTGAAAAGCATACAAAAAAACCATTGTCACACAAACATAAACTATGTAGGCAGATAAAATTACAGTTAAGCGCCTTAAAACTATATAATAGGCTTCAAATCTTTTCTATTATTGTTTATACTAGTATCGCCAATCTACAAAATAGCCTTGCGGTTGCGACCGTTCATTCCAAACTGCGGTAGAGATTAACAACGACCTAACGCCTTTCAAACCAAACGAAACAAGAGCAAACTGACACCTGTCTCTTTACAGGTGCGCGTGAACTTATCGGCACGTAAAACGGAATCAAGAAGTCAGCAGCGTGAGGTGACAACACTTTCACCAGTAGCGCACGCGCCGCATCTTCCCACGGTGAAACCGTGCGAAGAAAACGTCAGGAAAATGCCCATTGTACAAGAAAACACGGCTAGATGCACCAGGTGATCCAATATGCGCGAAGTTGCGCAGGCCAGCACACCGGCCAGGGTCCGGTTAAAACCAGTATGGGCCGGGTTGATATGGTTGCTGCTAATTGCGCACGCGGTTACAGCCAACAGGCCGCCGCGGTTTCTGATAGATGGCCAGTCAGAGATCGTTTTGAGGCTGAAAGAAGGACCAGACACTCCTGTAGGTAAGTACCACAACTTTAGCTGCAGTAGCTCTACTTTTATAGAGAGCTCATCTCTCTCTCTCTCTCGCCGTTTCAAAAATATTATTTATAATAAGCTCTCTGTAAGTCCTACCAGGCCTGGCTCACTCCGCGCGGTACATCCGATAATTACCTACAGCGAAGCGCCCCGCCGGCGGGTATTATATCAGTCGAGTGTCACGCGCGCGCCCGTCAGGACGCTGGCGTGCGTTGTAGTATGATTATAATTTTATGATCGAAGTATTATTTAAAATATGCCGTATTATGCCGTGTGGTGACGGCAGAGTAGAATACATTTGTCACCAACCCCTACTCTTCCCGCGGGTGTCGTAAGAGGCGACTTAGGGACTACACATCAAACAGAGAATGGGCAGCAGCGCTCTCTGAAAAACATCAATCTTTTAAACTGCGATCTCCAACCCGCCTGCCAAGCGTGGAGATTATGGCAAAACCCTCCACTATAGTAGAGGAGGCTCATAGTCCAGCAGTGGACTGTAAACGGCTGTTGATGATGATGATACTTACCTACATACGTACCTCATTACAAATAAGTAGATTAATTATTTTTTCACTAGACAGCAACCCTAACAGCGTAAGAAGAGTTCAGAGGCACGCGATAGAAAGAGACAAAACTTGTAGGTGAATAAAATTATAGGTACGTAGTGCTGTGCGAGCTGAATTCCACAGTATCGCGTCGTAGCAAGACTCGCATTTATTTAAATCGTCTTGCGGAGTAATCCTTCTGTACCTGTACTATTACTTATTCTGTGGTCCTACATAATAACTATTATCAAAGTTGATCTATCGATTTTTTAAACAATCGCTGATCGTTACCATTCTTATGAACAACTTGCATCCTACCTACTACGTAATACATATTTTCGTGTTTTAAATTCTTAATTTTATCAGTTCCAAATTGGAACTTCCAATCACCTTTCATCGAGCATTAACTACTTACTTAACTGGTAGTCAGAGCTGTTAGTCATCAGGAAAAAGTTTTGTAGGGTACAATAACAGACAGGCGGAAATTACCGGTCGAGGGGATAGGGTAACCAAGACAACAGACGTCCAACAAAGGGGAAACCTTACAAACACTAGTCCCCAACTCCCCACAGTATAATCGCTTAGGCAATATCATGTAACATGTAACTTAAATTACCTTACTCATCGTTTCGTGCAACGTAAGGAGGGTATTTTTAAATACTGGATAGACAACATTAATTTATAGTAATCTCATTCCAAATGTATAATCAGCTTAGCTTTTAATTAAATAAATCTAGCAAATAATTGCTTTACCATTTACCCATGTATGCATGTATAGGTACTTCATGAAGCCTTAAGAAACTAGAATTAAGTATGTAGATTACTTAGGATTAGGATTTTTCATTGTATTTTTGTTGCAGGCAGTCTAATATATCGACTGAGAGGCGTTGATCCTGATGGAGACACATTAAAATTTGGGATTAGAGACCAACTTGGTAGTGATATTTTAAGATTAGAAGCCATTTCATCCAACGAAGCTAATATTTATTTAGTTAAGGAATTAGATAGAGAGGTAACCTTTTTATTTAATTATCTTTACTTGAATTAACTCGTACTTTTCTGCATCTTTGAATGAAATAATAATTTTATCACTTCTAGGTCCGTGATGAATACTCTTTCGTCCTAACTTTAACTGATGGGCATTTGGGGGAAGGGAACTTCGTCACGCAGAGCTTTTTGCTGTTAGTTGAAGACGTGAATGACAACGAGCCCATATTCAAACCGTACCCGTCGGCAATCACCGTGAAAGAAAATGCACCGCCCAGCGTAATTGCCACGGTAGAAGCAACAGACCTTGACGAAGGTGCATATGGTCAAGTATGTTTGAGATACAATCTTTTTTCATGTTTATTAAGAATTAACGACCCGGCCCAGCTGGATTAAATAGGAGCAAAAAGCTAATTTTAGGGCTGATTTTTCAATCGTCAGATAACTTTTAACTGAAGAATAAACTTGTCATTTTGACATATTTCCCCTACTGAAACTATCAATGTGTCAAACTTATTCTTCGGTTAAAAGTTATCTGACGATTGAAAAATCAGCCCTTATTTAGGTAACTAATTATTCGACACATTATTGGACTACGAAGCAGAACTTCTACCATGATTGTGGTGACTAAAAATAAGTCCATGACTTCGTCTGTAGAGGCTAAAATTGTAATTCCTAAAGCTACGATAAATCTTGACATTTAAGAAGTAAAATGTCAATGTTTGTTTTTTAAAAAAGTAAAAAGTCATAATATTTTGGAATTTCGAATAATTTTTCACTATGCAATCTTAGTATGCAATAAATAATTAAATCCCATTATTTTAAATTTTTAGGTGCTTTATCACCTGCAAGAGCTAGACGGTGATATCGACAACTTTTCTGTACAAACTGTGAACGGGAAGGGTGTGATCCGAGTAACGAATAGCTTGGATTACGAGAAGAAATCGCTGTACCAACTGAGGGTGCTCGCGGTAGACCGCGCGAACCAAGGCAGAGTCAACACTGGGACGGCAGCGATCTTGGTGAAGGTCCAAGACGTTGNTTTTGGTACTGAATACTGTTGTTTGTGACTGAATTGTGACTGAAACGCAAAAATATAGAGCAATTCACGAAAAAGAGCGATTTGCATAACTTTAATACATCATCATCATCATCATCATTTCAGCCACAGGACGTCCACTGCTGAACATAGGCCTCCCCCAATGCTTTCCATGTTGATCGATTGGTAGCGGCCTGCGTCCAGCGCTTCCCTGCTACCTTTACGATGTCGTCGGTCCTCCTTGTAGGTGGACGTCCCACGCTGCGTTTTCCGGTACGCGGCCTCCATTCCAGAACCTTTCTGCCCCATCGGCCGTCAGTTCTGCGTACTATGTGCCCTGCCCATTGCCACTTCAGCTTGCTAATACGTCGGGCTATGTCAGCGACTTTGGTTCATTTACGGATCTCCTCATTTCTGATTCGATCTCGCAAAGAAACACCAAGCATAGCCCTCTCCATAGCACGCTGTGCAACTTTGAGCTTCTGACACAAAAATAAACTTGCCGTTCCAAATTTCAGACTGCATAAGATTGGGAATTCATTTATGGGGAAATGTATTAAATTACTTAATAAATTACCACAAACTGTTGTAGAACTACCCATTCATAAATTCAAAGCACATATTAAAAGTACCTTAATGAAAAAGGGCTACTATAAAGTCGATGATTATTTAAAAAATAAAAATGATTGGGATGCGTAACTGCCTAGCTCGCATAAATATTATTATAACTATGTATTTTGAAAACCTGTAAACCTTTGAAAAAGAGGCTGACAATAGTGTCTGAGTTTCTTGCGCTGCTTCTTCTCAGCACTGGCCCATTTATTGTCCTGAAGCAGTGGTAGGGTTAATACTGGGACGTGTAAAAGTGCTTTTTTAAAGCCTACTTACAGAAATAAATGAGTTTTACTGAGTTTTTTACTGAGAATCTTGAAAATATGAGAACTTGGAATCTTCTAAAAGTATACTCCAAAGCATGTATCTACCTAATCTGTTGAAAAACACAATTTATTAAAAAACTCAATAAAAATGCTTATAATAAATGTAAACAAACTGAGAGCAAATTTAGAAAAAAGAACTATTATCTGGAAATTATAGGACATGTTTTCTCTGTGATAATATTATATTCAGAGGTTTCTTACCACTGAACCATTTAGGAGACATACAACATTTAGGTGGATTCTTCTTAAAAAGTTTTCTCTCCAAACTATAACTATTGAAGAATTTAATTTCTTTTATTATTTATTATTTATTTAATCTAAACCATTATTGTATTTTTCTATTTCAAGTCCGAGCCATCGATGGAGACCGAGGCATCAACAACCGGATATCGTACAGCATCATCTCCGGCGGTGAAGAGCACTTTGACATTGACAGCAGCTCGGGAATCGTATACACTATCAACCAACTGGATCGGGAAGATCCCAATAACAGCAATGGAGCCTACATATTGGAGATATTGGTTTGTTACTAACACTTTTTATACCTGAGATGGAATTGTGTAAAGCAATCGTAATCATTTGACAGTTCATAACGTATAATAAAGTCAGATAAACAAAGCGTTTGACAGAATAATCGTATGTTACAATTGCTTTGTTTACACAATTCCACCTCTGATTTTATGTATTTGAAAAATGATAAGTACCAAACTAATAGGATACAAGTTTTTTAATTTTTTCCCTGTCCCTACCTATGTTCTCTAATAAATAATGTTTTTTTTTTCATAACAAATTAAAGACATTATTTAATTAAGGACATACCTACATGTAAAAAGATCTTCATTATTTATTTTGTGTATTTATGTGTCTTATTCACACAGGCCACAGAGGAATCCCACGCCGTCTCTCCTATGCCCAGTGCTACGACCGAAGTGACGGTCATTGTGACTGATGTTAACGATGAAACTCCAAGGTTTAGGAGTGAGAAGTATGTCGGTGAAGTCCTGGAGAATGCCCAGCAGAATACCCCGATAACTTTTCTTCAGGATGCTTTGCCTGAAGTGTTTGACTATGATCAGGTATGTCCATACAGTAGGTATAAGGCTGAGGACAATTTACGACGCGTTTTTTGAGTCTACACAAAAGTTTTGTATGAACTTCACAACAACACAAAATGTGTTATAACTTGACTGAGGACAATTTACGACGCGTTTTTTGAGTCTACACAAAAGTTTTGTATGAACTTCACAACAACACAAAATGTGTTATAACTTGAACGTTTATTAACTCTAATAAAATTACACTTGTTAGGCGTAATCTGCAACTTGTATAAATAGAGATATAATTGGACCTTAAATTAATGCAGTTAGCACTTTTATTTCTACTCCTATAAATTAGCTGTCTATACTACTGGAAAAAAATGTGATGCACATTTCATTTATCTGAAGAAATTCTTTTGTAAAAAACTATTTATACAATAACTGAAGATGCAAATTAAACCCAAAACAAATTCTAATTGGAATCCAACATGCAATTTTAGTAACCTACATTTCACTTTATTTCAGGGGAAAAATGGTACATTCGAACTGTACCTGGTCGGAGACAATGGTGTTTTCGACGTCACGCCATTCAAGGGGATCAATGAGGCGTCGTTTCTGATCAGAGTCAACGACCCGTCATTTTTAGACTATGAAAAGGTCACCGTAATGAATTTCAGTCTAGTCGCCAAAGAAATTGTTGCCAAAGACCCAAAGATGAGGTACCTTAATCTTCTTTTTTTACACAAAAAAACTCGTTAAAATAACGTGATGTTTTGAGCAGAATTTCGCATCAGTTGTATGTTTCTAAAACTATGAGTAATTGTAATTTTTAACCAAATTCAGATTTATTCCCGAAATTCACCAACATATCCAGTTTTCATGCATTTACGCCCGTATTCACAAACGATGCCTGCTTAAGTGAAGCAGCAAATCAAACACAGCGTTGAATAGAGCTCTGTGATTGTTTCATGTGTCATCCTGTGCGTCGACGCGAACCGTGAGAACTCATAGTAGTGTTTGTGAATACGGGCGTAACACCAGGCTCAAAACATCTTATTTAAAGAACAGTGTTTTAAAATTATGTTACAGAAACCAACTTTGCTTATAGGAAGTAGTATGCAACTGCGCTATTAACTGTTCATTTAAAATTTCAGTGTAGTGCCAATAATGGTCCATATAAAGGACGAGAACGACAATTTCCCCGAGTTCACGGAGTCTCTGTACATGGTGTCCGTCCCTGAAAACTGCGAGGTTGGGACCACAGTAGCCTGGGTGCAAGCTTTAGACCAGGATTCCGATAATTATGGAACCAGGGGCATTAGATACACCAGCCTTGGAGGAAGTATAGCCAATTTGTAAGTAAAAGATGTGATGCAAGGATTTCCATAGTAATAGACAAAAATATTACAGCAATCTCCTCAGCGTAATTATATTGCTGTCGCGCTCACACACTCACTGCAGCCGCCCGTCGCACATTCGCGACAGCAATATAATTACGCGCAAGCGCTAAGGATGGGTAGCTTGGGGTCATTGGACGAAATTCTACGTGCTCGGCGACCGGACTCTACTATTTGAAACTATTAAAAGCCACTCATCTTTACTTCCAGGCTCAACCTAAACCCAATATCAGGCGTGATAACAGTAAAACAAGCAGGAGGTGACAACTTCGACCGGGAATTGATCTCACGACACTACCTCACCGTGGAAGCAAGAGACGACCTCGGGAAAGGCAACCGTAATACAGCACAGCTGATCATCAATATAGAAGACGTTAACGACAATGCCCCAATGTTTCTTGCAAACAAATACGAAGCCAGACTGCTGGAGAATGAACGCCAGTTTGAGAACCCATTGATACTGGAAGCTAGAGATATCGACCTCAATGGTAAGTGACATAAGGCATAAAATTGTTTGTAATCTAGGTTTCATTGGGTGAAGGCAACGGAATACCGCTCAACTGATCATCAACATAGAAGATGTCAACGACAACGCTCCAATGTTCTTAGCAAACAAATACGAAGCTAGGCTGCTACAGAATGAACGCCAGTTTGAGAACCCATTGATTCTTAAAGCTAGGGACATCGATCTTAATGGTAAGTGACATACGGCTTAAAGTTGCTTGTAATCTAGGTTTCATTGGGTGAAGGCAACGGAATACCGCTCAACTGATCATCAACATTGAAGATGTGAATGACAACGCCCCAATGTTCTTAGCAAACAAATACGAGGCCAGACTACTGGAGAATGAACGCCAGTTTGAGAACCCATTGATACTGGAAGCTAGAGATATCGACCTTAATGGTAAGTGACATAAGGCATAAAATTGTTTGTAATCTTAGTTTAAGTAGACAAAGGCAATCGTAACACCGCGCAACTGATCATCAGCATAGAAGACGTTAATGAAAACTCTCCAATGTTCTTAGCAAATAAATACGTAGCTATACTGCTTGAGAACGAATGCTAGTTCGAAAACCCACTGATTTTTGAAGCAAGGGATATCGACCTTAATGGTAAGTGACATAAGGAATAAAGTTGCTTTAAAAATAGAAAACTTAGCTTACAGGGTGGAAAACCATAATCAAACGGGGACGGAAGCATTGTAACGGCCCACAGTCTTTTAAAATCACTTGGAAGCGGACATTTTTTGGTGAATAGATGACATGATTTAACAAGTAAATCTAAGTAAATTCTTAAAAGAAACCCGTGGTCTATCTTCAACAGCTTTCGAGAAAAAATTTTTTTAATTTGGCTTATTTTGTGTGTGTTAAAATACGATTTTTGGTTTATCTGTTCTTTTGTTGAAGTTGTAACACAATTGACTTATGTGAGTAATAAAGCACACCATTTCCCTTTTTTTGAGCTATACATCACATTCTAAAGCTTTGTAGATCCGGGGAAATTATAAAAAAACTGATTTTTGGTTTTTAATTTTTTAAATTTAAGTTGTACATTTTGAGCAATAACGAATTATTGCATGTTATAAAAGACCTTTTATTTTACTCACGAAAAAAAAATCACCGAATTTTGAGAACATACTTGTGAGAAAATTGCATTTGAAATTTCGTGTTATGCAACGCCTTCTGAAAAGCTCTTGGCAAACACAAACTTTCGTCATTGCTATTAAAATATTGTCTGGCGATATTGTACTGGTCAATTTAGTGCAAGGCAGGCAGTGTTTAGGGTTACTAATTTGTTCTATTACGTACTTCAGTCCGCACTGGATGGACAAATGGAGATCAAAGTTGTGNTTTTGTAGAATAGCTCAAATACTAATAATACAATGCAAATAAAACATACCTTAACGACCTGGTTTTTCTTGTGTTGGAAAATAACTGAAAAAGAAGTGAAAAAAGTCATGTTTTTTTCTAATTAAATCCATTCTTACTCCCTTAAAATGTATGAAACTTGTATCTGTTTTCTACTTCTGCTAATAGATAATTTTATTGGCTATCGCATGATATAAAATGTTTGCTTATTGGTGTTAAGCTACCCTCGCTATCACTTGTTTTTGAAGGAAGAGGTGAAAACTAAAAATTAAAAACTTAAATCCATGTAATTTTTCGAAAAATGGGTCAGGCCCCAAATTTGAAGTATTTTCATCGATAAAATTGTCCATAGATTACGCCCTTAAAGTTTGATCACTACAAGCCCGGACACACTGTATTGCTGTCGCGCTCGCACACTCACTGCAGCCGCCCGTCGCACATTCGCGACAGCAATATAATTACGCGCGAGTGATATGGATGGGTAGCTTGGGGTCATTGGACGAAATTCTACGTGCTCGGCGACCGGACTTTACTATTTGAAACTTTATCAAAAGCCACTGAAACTGACTTTCACTCATCTTTACTTCCAGGCTCAACCTAAACCCAATATCAGGCGTGATAACAGTAAAACAAGCTGGCGGAGACAACTTCGACCGGGAATTGATCTCACGACACTACCTCACTGTCGAAGCGAGAGACGACCTCGGGAAAGGCAACCGTAATACAGCACAGCTGATCATCAACATAGAAGACGTTAATGACAATGCCCCAATGTTTCTTGCAAACAAATACGAAGCCAGACTGCTAGAGAATGAACGCCAGTTTGAGAACCCATTGATACTGGAAGCTAGAGATATCGACCTCAATGGTAAGTGACATAATGCATAAAATTGTTTGTAATCTAGGTTTCATTGGGTGAAGGCAACGGAATACCGCTCAACTGATCATCAACATAGAAGATGTCAACGACAACGCTCCAATGTTCTTAGCAAACAAATACGAAGCTAGGCTGCTACAGAATGAACGCCAGTTTGAGAACCCATTGATACTGAAAGCTAGGGACATCGACCTTAATGGTAAGTTACTTAAGGCATAAAATAGTTTGTAATGTAGGTTTCATTGGGTAAAGGCAACGGAATACCGCTCAACTGCTAATCAGCATAGAAGACGTGAATGACAACACTCCGATGTTCCTTGCAAACAAATACGAAACCACACGACTTCATAGAATATTCTCGCAAATTTTTCAGTTTTATCCTATACAATGATGATACTCCAGTTTCACATACATCCGATTGTTCCAGGCACAAAGAACAGCCACATCGAGTATTCCATAGTCGGCGGCGAGTACAAGAACAACTTCTCGATTGACCCTAACCTGGGCATCATCACGCCCAGAGGTGGACTAGATTTCGAGCAGATTCCGGGGGACAACACCAATATTCGACCTATACATCTGACGGTAACAATAATAAAATTGATCAATACACATAAAATACTTTCATAATAAATACATTCTATAAAAATAATAAACAACCGTATTTCAAAATGGCCATGTTTTTGAAAACGGCTAGCCGTAATATAATATGGTGGATTATACTCATACAATCTGACTGCGACAAATACATAAATGTCTTCAATGTAAATATCATCTATTTTTACGTCAAAAACTCAATCATTCATGCTTCCATGATGAATTAAAATCAATAGAACATCATGGGCCCATTTTGCTCGTTTTCTCAGCCATACGCTCTGCATTTATTTTTATATTTTCTTTTTTTTTATATGCTCTGCACCTCTATATTTAAAGTTGTAATTCCCATGGCAGGTGAGAGCTCGCGACTTCGGTATACCACCACTATCGTCTACCGTGCCCGTAACAATATACGTGCAAGACGTGAACGATCACGCGCCGCTGTTTCAGCAAATGATCTAATTCTTATGCATAATATTATATGCTCTGAACCCCTATATTTAAAGTTGTAATTCCCCTGCCAGGTGAGAGCTCGTGACTTCGGTATACCACCACTATCGTCCACCGTGCCCGTAACAATATACGTGCAAGACGTCAACGATCACGCGCCGCTGTTTCAACAGATTATCTAATTCTTATACAAACCATTTTATACTCTGCAGCCCTACATTTAAAGTTGTAATTCCCCTGCCAGGTGAGAGCTCGCGACTTCGGTATACCACCACTATCGTCTACCGTGCCCGTAACAATATACGTGCAAGAGGAGAAATTATAAAAAAACTGATTTTTGGTTTTTAATTTTTTAAATTTAAGTTGTACATTTTGAGCAATAACGAATTATTGCATGTTATAAAAGACCTTTTATTTTACTCACGAAAAAAAAATCACCGAATTTTGAGAACATACTTTTGAGAAATTTGCATTTGAAATTTCGTGTTATGCAACGCCTTCTGAAAAGCTCTTGGCAAACACAAACTTTCGTCATTGCTATTAAAATATTGTCTGGCGATATTGTACTGGTCAATTTAGTGCAAGGCAGGCAGTGTTTAGGGTTACTAATTTGTTCTATTACGTACTTCAGTCCGCACTGGATGGACAAATGGAGATCAAAGTTGTGATTCTCCACTACAAATGAGATTGCGTATTAGCAATGACAAAAGTTTGTTTTTGCCAAGAGTTTTTCGGAAGGCGTTGCTTAACACGAAATTTCAAATGCAAATTTCTCAAAAGTATGTTCTCAAAATTCGGTGATTTTTTTTTCGTGAGTAAAATAAAAGGTCTTTTATAACATGCAATAATTCGTTATTGCTCAAAACGTACAACTTAAATTTAAAAAATTAAACACCAAAAATCAGTTTTTTTATAATTTCTCCGGATCTACAAAGCTTTAGAATATGATGTATAGCTCAAAAAAAGGGAAATTGTGTGCTTTATTACTCACTTAAGTCAATTGTGTTACAACTTCAAATAAAGAACAGATAAACAAAAAAACGTATTTCAAAACACACAAAATAAGCCGAATTAAAAATTTTTTTTCTCGAAAGCTGTTGAAGATAGACCACGGGTTTCTTTTAGGAATTTACTTAGATTTACTTGTTAAATCATGTCATCTATTCACCAAAAAATGTCCGCTTCCAAGTGATTTTAAAACACTGTGCGGCCTGATGTTCGCATATTTTCCCTTTACAACATCTATGAAAAGAGTGGGGGTGTTACTATTCCACTGCTAGAACCAAACGGCTTTATGGGAGTAGGCGCCGTTGGTACTACCGTTCTATTCATAAATAAATGCGCCACAATTTGTTGTCGGGCTATTTTAAACACCCCGCACACAACAGACGTTTTATGTCCGGAAGTTTGGTCGGACTGTTAATCGCTTATCCTACTAATATTATAAATGCGAAAGTTTGTGTGGATGTCTGGATGATTGTTACTCTTTCACGCAAAATCTACTGAACGGATTTTGATGAAACTTTACAGTATTGTTGTTTATAACCCAGAATAACATATAGGCTATAATTTATAACGATCTGTGACAAACTAAATTTCATGCGGGTGAAGCCGCGGGCAAAAGCTAGTGGAAAATAAAAGTGCGCACATTACACCGATTTGGTATCAGCCGATTTCTTATACAAAGAAGCCGACCAAACTATCTGCAAGGAATCTTAAACCTTCACAATGAATAAGATGTTCCATTCCCACTCCGTTTCATTATCCAATTGTTCCAGGCACAAAGAACAGCCACATCGAGTATTCCATAGTCGGCGGCGAGTACAAGAACAACTTCTCGATTGACCCCAACCTGGGCATCATCACGCCCAGAGGTGGGCTTGACTTCGAACAGATTCCGGGGGACAACACCAATATTCGACCCATACATCTAACGGTAATAATAATAAAATTAATCAATACACATAAAATACTTTCATAATAAATACATTCTATAAAAATAATAAACAGCCGTATTTCAAAATGGCCATGTTTTATAAAACGGCTAGCCGTAATATAATATGGTGGATTATACTCGTACAATCTGACTGCGACAAATACATAAATGTCTTCAATGTAAATATCATCTATTTTTACGTCAAAAACTCAATCATTCATTGCTTCCATGATGAATTAAAATCAATAGAACATCATGGGCCCATTTTGCTCGTTTTCTCAGCCATACCATTATATGCTCTGCACCTCTATATTTAAAGTTGTAATTCCCATGGCAGGTGAGAGCTCGCGACTTCGGTATACCACCACTATCGTCTACCGTGCCCGTAACAATATACGTGCAAGACGTCAACGATCACGCGCCGCTGTTTCAGCAAATGATCTAATTCTTATGCATAATATTATAATATGCTCTGCACCACTATATTTAAAGTTGTAATTCCCCTGCCAGGTGAGAGCTCGCGACTTCGGTATACCACCACTATCGTCCACCGTGCCCGTAACAATATACGTCCAAGATGTCAACGATCACGCGCCGCTGTTTCAACAGATTATCTAATTCTTATACAAACCATTTTATACTCTGCAGCCCTACATTTAAAGTTGTAATTCCCCTGCCAGGTGAGAGCTCGCGACTTCGGTATACCACCACTATCGTCCACCGTGCCCGTAACAATATACGTCCAAGATGTCAACGATCACGCGCCGCTGTTTCAACAGATTATCTAATTCTTATACAAACCATTTTATACTCTGCAGCCCTACATTTAAAGTTGTAATTCCCCTGCCAGGTGAGAGCTCGCGACTTCGGTATACCACCACTATCGTCCACCGTGCCCGTAACAATATACGTCCAAGATGTCAACGATCACGCGCCGCTGTTTCAACAGATTATCTAATTCTTATACAAACCATTTTATACTCTGCAGCCCTACATTTAAAGTTGTAATTCCCCTGCCAGGTGAGAGCTCGCGACTTCGGTATACCACCACTATCGTCCACCGTGCCCGTAACAATATACGTCCAAGATGTCAACGATCACGCGCCGCTGTTTCAACAGATTATCTAATTCTTATACAAACCATTTTATACTCTGCAGCCCTACATTTAAAGTTGTAATTCCCCTGCCAGGTGAGAGCTCGTGACTTCGGTATACCACCACTATCGTCCACCGTGCCCGTAACAATATACGTGCAAGACGTCAACGATCACGCGCCGCTGTTTCAGCAAATGATCTAATTCTTATGCATAATATTATAATATGCTCTGCACCACTATATTTAAAGTTGTAATTCCCCTGCCAGGTGAGAGCTCGCGACTTCGGTATACCACCACTATCGTCCACCGTGCCCGTAACAATATACGTCCAAGATGTCAACGATCACGCGCCGCTGTTTCAACAGATTATCTAATTCTTATACAAACCATTTTATACTCTGCAGCCCTACATTTAAAGTTGTAATTCCCCTGCCAGGTGAGAGCTCGCGACTTCGGTATACCACCACTATCGTCTACCGTGCCCGTAACAATATACGTGCAAGACGTCAACGATCACGCGCCGCTGTTTCAGCAGATGATCTACAAGAGATCTATCCCTGAGGACATGCCAGGTGGCACTAGTGTGTTAGAGGTGAGTGACGTCATAATATCGTTAGTTACTTTTTATTTAAAGATACAAATTAATTTGGAAGAACATAAAACTCCTGATTAGTTTTTATAACTGTAGTGTAAAATATTTAACCTCCAATATCAGTAAATAGTAATTTTTAACAAATATTTTAATTTTACACGATACAATATGCAGGTCTTTTGGATTTGCAAATATTTAGTTAGTCTTATAAGTGCGCTAATTCGCAAAAACTTGTTTAAATGTCCACGAAATGTAAAAGAGTCCCTCTTTTTGACATATTATTATGGCTGACAGAGCATAGAAACTTTGAAGCATAACTAAAGTCTCGCTCAAGTTTGACGTCTCAAAAACTTCCTCCCGTGCCTCTGCCATATCTCAGGAAATAACTAAACGCTAGACTTATAGCAACTAAATTATTCCTCAATCAGGTAAAAGCCCGCGATTCCGACGGCTCATCGCCGAACAACCGAGTGGTGTACCGCATCCAAAGAGGCGCCAGCGACAAGTTCGTCATCGACAGCCGCTCTGGCGTGGTCTCTGTGGCCAACGGGTCCAACCTCGACCCGGACAAGACCAACCCGAAGAGCAACCGGTACACGCTCACTGTGGTAAGTTGTTTACTAATTACTAAAGTCCGGTCGCCGAGCACAGAATTTCGTCCAATGACCCCACACCCACGCTCGCACACTCACTGCGGCCAGTGATAAGGAAGGTCATGGGTAGCTTGGGGTCATTGGACGAAATTCTGTCTGCTCGGCGACCGGACTTTAGCTGTGCTCGCGACTCCGACGGCTCATCGCCGAACAACCGAGTTGTGTACCGCATCCAAAGAAGCGCCAGCGATAAGTTCGTCATCGACAGCCGCTCCGGCGTGGTCTCTGTGGCCGACGGGTCCAACCTCGACCCGGACAAGACTAGCCCGAAGAGCAACCGGTACACGCTCACTGTGGTAAGTTGTTTACTCATTACTAAAGTCCGGTCGCCGAGCACATGGAATTTCATCCAATGACCCCACACCCACGCTCGCACACTCACTGCGGCCAGTTATAAGGATGGGTCATGGGTAGCTTGGGGTCATTGGACGAAATTCTGTCTGCTCGGCGACCGGACTTTAGCTGTGCTCGCGACTCCGACGGCTCATCGCCGAACAACCGAGTGGTGTACCGCATCCAAAGAGGCGCCAGCGACAAGTTCGTCATCGACAGCCGCTCCGGCGTGGTCTCTGTGGCCAACGGGTCCAACCTCGACCCGGACAAGACCAACCCGAAGAGCCACCGGTACACGCTCACTGTGGTAAGTTGTTTACTCATTACTAAAGTCCGGCCGCCGAGCAGATAGAATTTCGTCCAATGACCCCAAGCTACCCGTCCTTATCGCTTGCGTGTAATTATATTGCTATCGCGCTCGCACACTCACTGCGGCCGCCCGTCGCACAGTCGCGACAGCATATTATTACGCGTGAGCAATAAGGATGGGTAGCTTGGGGTCATTGGACAATATTCTATCTGCTCGGCGGCCGGACTTTCGAAGGTAATAGGATCTTACTCAACAGTGGCGCCAACTGGTACAATAGCCCTCATTTCCAGGCGAGGGCAGCTGCCTTTCCCTCCTCCTGATAGACACATCTTAATTTTAAGACATGATTACAAAACAAAATCTTATGTCGGCCGTTTGGTGTAGTGGTTCGGAAACGGACTACTATACCGAGAGGTCCCGGGTTCGATTCCCGGCCGGACAGAAATTGAAATTGGTTTTTAATTTTTGTGATGGGTCTGGGTGTTAGTATGTATAATATGTATGTATTGACAAAAAAAAGTATTTAAGTATGTTTCTAACCGTTGTCTAGTACCCATAGTACAAGCTTTGCTTAGTTTGGGACTAAAAGCGTAGTGTAAAATGTCCAAAGCTATTTATTATAAAGCTATTGTATCCAGGTGGCGCTAGACGGTGGTATAGGCGACCAGCAACTAAGCGCGGCAGTGCTTGTGAACATCACTATAGTGGACGTCAACAACAAACCACCCGTTTTGAAGGAACCAGGCACCATCACCGTCAGAGAAAACACGCAGGTTAGTACGTAATTGAACCTTTTAGCAATGAAATAAGCCTTAAAATCGGTGCTTGTGAACATCACCATAGTGGATGTCAATAACAAACCACTTGTCCTGATGGAACCAGGCACCATTATCGTCAGGAAAAACCAGGTGGGTAAGATAGTACTTAACCATTAACCATTTATCTACTACGACTTTGAAACTTTAGTAATGACCACAAAATTTAAAATCAATTAGAGAAACTTATCAATATGTGGTAAGTTCATGTAAGTCTTTGAGGCAGAGTTTCTGAGATGTAAATCTATTTGATTCCATATAGTGAATACACCAAATCATTGGAATTATTGTTATGTACTTAATATTGTTATTTTTTGTAGTATAAGGTGTATACTTACTTATTCTTTTCATTTACGTGATATTAAAATTATTATTTCCCAAACTCATCCCACAATTTAACCATCAGGTTGGCACACAAATATACCGCGCGCAAGCGTACGACCCGGACGAACAGCCGGTTCTCCGCTACTCGATAGACAGAGAAGGCAGTATAGCGCGAGACGAGGACGGAATACCCATCCCTGCGACGGAGTACGACTACCGCGCGCTTTGGGACTTGAATCCGGTCGATGGGACGCTTAAAGTCGTCAGGTAAGAGTAAAGAAAAACAAGAATACTTTGTNTGTCGGCCATTTGGTGTAGTGGTTCGGTAACGGACTACTATACCGAGAGTTCCCGGGTTCGATTCCCGGCCGGGCAGAAATTGAAATTGATTTTTAATTTTTGTGATGGGTCTGGGTGTTAGTATGTATAATATGTATGTATTTACAAAAAAAAAAGTATTTAAGTATGTTTATAACCGTTGTCTAGTACCCATAGTACAAGCTTTGCTTAGTTTGGGACTAAAAGCGTAGTATAAAATGTCCAAAGCTATTTATTATAAAGCTATTATATACAGGTGGCGCTAGACGGTGGTATAGGCGACCAGCAACTAAGCGCGGCGGTGCTCGTAAATATCACTATAGTGGACGTCAACAACAAACCGCCCGTTTTGAAGGAACCAGGCACCATCACCGTCAGGGAAAACACGCAGGTTAGTACTTTATAGCAATTAAATAAGGCTTAAAATTGGTGTTTGTGAACATCAACCCCCTGGCTTGAAAAATCTGTAAAAATTCGTAATAATACTGCTTTTCATGAACTTTCAAGGAAAGCTATAACGGTTAAGAGACCATTACTTAGTTTAAGAGTAATAGTCATTTAACTCATGTATTATAAAAGTTCTTAGCTAGTAAAAATTCCTTAGAAGAAAATATGAAAAATGACTTTAGATGAAGTAATTGCTTGCTTCTAAAATATTTTGTGTTAACGACGGACAATTACGGAACCCTACACTGCGCGTGGCACGACACGCACTTGGCCAATTTTATTTTAGTATTAGGGTATACGTACTCTTTTCATTTACGAGATATTAAAATTATTATTTCCCAAACTTATCCCACAATTTAACCATCAGGTTGGCACACAAATCTACCGCGCGCAAGCGTACGATCCGGACGAGCAACCAGTTCTGCGTTACTCGATAGACAGAGAGGGCAGTATCGCGCGAGACGAGGACGGAATACCCATCCCTGCGACAGAGTACGACTACCGCGCACTTTGGGACTTGAATCCGGTCGATGGGACGCTTAAAGTCGTCAGGTAAGAGTAAAGAAAAACAAGAATACTTTGTAAGAGTCCACCTGCACGATGCACCGACGACTTTATAAGATGGCAGCGGCTGCAAGAACAAATGGAAGATTGTGCTTTGTTGAGTTTTGTGGAGGCATACGTCCAGTAGGCCTAGGGTGCGCGCCAAGACTTATCGCGGAGTTTATCTAAAGTCAACGATATAATTTTATTATGGCGCATATCCTAGCCCGGCTGGAGTTAACTGCCATTGGCTGAAATTATTATTTTTTAAGCTAAACCATAATTAATACTAGGTCTTGAGGACAGATAGTAAGGTGCACTATTTTTCTACTTACTTTCAGTACCCTTCCTTGATTTGTATAAAGCCTGGTCCGTGAGCACGTAGAATTTTGTCCAATGACCCCAAGCTACCCATCCTTATCGCTCGCGCGTAATTATATTGCTGTCGCGACTGTGCGACTGGCACCCGCAGTGAGTGTGCGAGCGCGACAGCAACATAATTACACAGGATTACAGGATGGGTAGCTTGGGGTCATTGGACAAAATTCTACGTGTTCACGGACCAGGCTTTAATCAGAAACAACAATTGTTTACCAAAATTGTTAAAGCAGTTCAAAATCAATACTCTATTCAACCCATTTCAGGTTACTAGACCGCGAAAAAGTTGAAACAGTGAAACTAGTAATCACAGTTGAAGACATGGCAGCAATAGACGGTGGTCCTCGTCAGACCGCCTCAGCCACCCTCACCATTCTAATAGAGGATGAAAACGACAACAATCCCAAGTTCAGGAAGCCGTTCTATAGGACATCTATACCTGAAAACTCGAAGAACGGCGCCAATATAGCGACGGTGATAGCTGATGATGCGGACAAGAATAGGACTATGTCGTATTACCTTGAAGGTAAGGGTCAATTTGCCTCTATTAACTGCAAATTGATCAGGTCCAATCGCTGATACTTTCAATTAACAGCGACGACCTGACTGTACTTTTTCTTGGTTTCATTCTAACTCAGTTCGAATGTTAATCATCTAATGCCAAAAAATAATATTTATTTGACTATCAACATGAGATACAGTATTAAACACAACAATAAAAATTAAGCCAAAGGTCTCTAGCTAACTGCTCCCACACAATCGATAACCACAGCATGCATTTCTTAAAATGTAAGCAACCCTTGAATTTTTCAAATATCCAGCACAATATCCGGCGATAAATATTGCACATCGACCTTTAGAAAGAGACAATCGGCTAATTTCGGTTTCGTAGAGCGTTATCACTGTCGCACTTGAACAATGACTGACAATGACGTTTTGTCAAAGTGTAAACAAACTTTATTTTAAATGTGTGCAATTGATTTTGTGATTTAAATTGCTAAAAACTTTTGATAGTCGTGAAAGAAAAGTGGTTTACAATGTGTTAAAGTATTTGTCGAATAGAAATACTAAGAGTTCGGACAATATTTTCATTGAATAATGTTTTGTCAATGACGTTTTGTCAATCGTATAGGTAGTGTGCGACAGAGATAACGCTCTACGAGCCGAAATTAACCGATTCTCTTTCCAAAGGTCGATGTGCAATATTTATTGCCGGGTATTGTAAGTGCTTTCTAAAATTCCATTTGCAGAACAAAATGAATTAGGTACATGCTTTTTTCGCAAGTAATCACAAATAAATAGCCAATCCAGAAAGAGTACACATGTATATAAGTGTTTGTTTATATTTCAGGGCCAGACGAACTGCTAAGCATGGTGCATTTAGAGCGGTCTACCGGTGAAGTTGTGGTCGCAAACAAGATCGACCACGAGGTGTACCCGTGGATCAATCTTACGGTTAAAGCGGTGGACAGCGGTGTGCCCCCTAGGCATTCTGTCGTAGATTTGTTTATACAGGTTGGTATGAAAAATTATTTGAATTTAGTGATGTTTTAGATATTGTGTCAAAATTATAATGATATAGCTGTGTGGTGTATGATATAGCAGAGTAGAATAAGACTACTTTTACTCGTCGTAAGATAAGATTAAGGAATAAATATGAGAACATTTGCCTCCATATCTCTCAGGGCCACAGTGCCGCAAACACATTACTGATCTATACTCCATTTGCCTCTGGTTAATGAAAATGATTGTGCTGATGATTGACTGATGAGCTGGATATTTTCATAGACACAAAGAGAAAAGCATTTAAGTAATTTTATGGTGTCATTATTCCTAATAGGGATGTTTCCTGGGTAAAAAAGCAAGAGTTTTAATTAGTCCGTCAGTTAGCTTATCAAAAAATACTCGACACCTATTTTTCACTTTTTAAAACTAATGAAAATGTAAAGAGATAAAGCGTGCCAAAGTTCTAAAGAAAAGGCCCGTGACGTCAGTGAGTGCGTAAAAGTGCTACACTTTGTGACGTCGTGCGGAACTTCAACGCACTATAATTTTGTAATTATTTGCTTGATTGACAATTAAAAATATTCGTGTCCAATATTTTTTTATATTAAAATTGACGGACTAAAAATTTTTTTTAGGAAACTAGCCTATACTAGATGACGTGAATCGAGAACATGGTTCTCGTTCCGTCTTGCAACAGTTTGCTGCATATTTGTTTCATCTATCTTTTGAACCCAAACTTAGCCGTGACTATTATACTTCATCAGGTACTGGACGAGAACGACAACAACCCAGTGTTTGAATCGTCGGCGTTTGAATACCGCGTGTTAGAAGCGGTGGAGCCGGGCACCACCATCGCTGTAGTGCAAGCCACGGATGCTGACTCGGGAGAATACGGAAAGATCACTTATCTGCTCGACAGGATGTCTACACAGGTGAATACAAGCTAAATACCGAATACTGCTTACAAATAATTCCTTGAACTTACGTCTTAAAAAAGAAGATTTTATGTTATGTCTTTTTTTCCTGCTTTCTCTCTTGTGTCAAAAGCTGGCTTTTTCTCGTTTATTTGCTATATTTGATATAATCAATAAAATAATCATTCTACATGACTCTCAAAACAGAATCTTTTTTTCATCAATCAAACGTTTCCTTACGGACTATATCGAGAAACATCATTTTGACAGCTCATAAAAAGTATCTAATAAGACATCGATAGTAGTCAATGGGACTATCGGTGTCCGGTCTCCTATTGAGTTGGTAAACAAAAGGCATCATAGCTTTCCATTGCTATTCAAGTCACAAATATCATTATATTATCCGAAATTTTCCGAAATATCAACTATCCTACCCCAAGCTTAAAAAAGGTTGTTTAAAAGACTGGCTTATAAACAATTGTATATATAGTGTAAAGGAATTCCTAGACACCAAATTTGCATGCTGATATTGTTAAGCAGAATAGTAGCACTTTACCTAAATTTAACACCTAAACCATTGCACCTATTCCTTGCAAATAAATACTTTGACTTTGAAAAAGCATAAACAGACAGGGCTGGAATTCCGAAATGTTTCGAACCACTTTTCTTCAACAGGGCAAGTTCCTAATCAACGCAGAGACAGGGGCTCTCACAGTGTCGGACTGGCTGGACCGCGAGACGCAAGCCACTTACAACCTGGTGGTTGAAGCGTGGGACAACTACCAGTTTGGGTACCTCAGTGGCGAGAGCCGGAACGCTTTCAAGCAGATAGTGTAAGTTGAATACTTTGATAATACTTTATGTATGAATATTATCACAAGCTCTCTGTCTGTGGCTTCAAGTGAATTAATCTGTCACAGAAAGACTTTATGACAAGCGCATTCTCAATCAAAGACACGTCTTACCAAAAATTGTAACAGTTTAACAGTCCGTGAATAAGCTAAGACGTGGGGTGTTTGCATACGTTACTAGAAAAACCATCTTTCTAAGGTTAAGCTCAGGTTCTTTTCTAAGGTCCAATTTATTTCTTCACAAATTTCATCTTAGATTCAGTATTAAAGTTATGAGAGATTAACCAGTAAAATTAGGACTATCTTCCAGTGGTCTAGGTCTTCTTTAGGCTACTGAAAAAACGCTTAGGCTTGGTTGCACCATCTTACTTTAACTTTGACAAACGTCAAAAATCTGTCAAACTCCATACAAAAAGCACCGGCTATCGTCATAGTTACTGCCATAGTAAGATGGTGCAACCCACCCTTAGTCAGCTGCTTTACTTGTTTTTCATTTTAATATTCAAATTCCCTTTTAGAGTTCACGTTGAAGACGTAAACGATAACCCGCCAATACTCCAAATGCCGGAAGAGTGTACCACCATCACGGAGTTCCACAACCACCGCGAGCCCATAGTGTCGGTGTCGGCGACCGACGCCGACGACAACTCGTCGCCGAATGGACGCGTGCAGTTTCACTTGGTCGGTGGAAAAGGACACGGTACGTAGACTTATCATCATCATTTCAGCCATAGGACGTCCACTGCTAAGTAGGTCTCCCCCAATGATGTCCACAAAAAGGCTATGCTCGGTGTTTCTTTACGAGATTGAATCAGAAATGAGGAGATCTGTAAACGAGCTAAAGTCGCTGGCATAGGCCGATTAGCAAGCTGAAGTGGCAATGGGCAGGGCACATAGTGCGCAGAACTGACGGCCGATGGGGCAGCAAGGTTCTGGAGTGGAAGCCACGTACTGGAAAGCGTAGCATCGGACGTCCACCTACAAAGTGGACTGACGACTTATTATCAAGTGACGGTATTAATTATGTGACGTAAGTACGTCAGTCCACTCCTGGATAATGTATTTATCATCACGGAGTTCCACAACCACCGCGAGCCCATAGTGTCGGTGTCGGCGACCGACGCCGACGACAACTCGTTGCCGAATGGACGCGTGCAGTTTCACTTGGTCGGGGGGAAAGGACACGGTACGTAGACTCATCATCACCTATGTTCCTCTTAAGGCACAAGCCTTCCCCAGTGATTTCCTCAAAAAGAAGGCTATGTTCGGTGTTTCTTTACGAGATCGAATCAGAAATGAGGAGATACTAAAGTCGCTGATATAGCCCGAAGAATTAACAAGCTGAAGTGGCAATGGGCAGGTCACATACTATGCGGAACTGACGGCTGATGGGGCAGCAAGGTACTGGAGATGAGGCCACGTATTGGAAAGCGTAGCATCGGACGTCCACCCACAAGGTGGACTGATGACTTATTATCAAGTGACGATATTAATTATGTGACGTAAGTACGTCAGTCCACTCCTGGATAATCTATTTATCATCACGGAGTTCCACAACCACCGCGAGCCCATAGTGTCGGTGTCGGCGACCGACGCCGACGACAATTCTTCGCCGAATGGACGCGTGCAGTTTCACTTGGTCGGTGGAAAAGGACACGGTACGTAGACTTACCATCATCATTTCAGCTATAGGACGTCCACTGCTGAATAGGCCTCCCCCAATGATTTCCACAAAAAAACTATGCTCGGTGTTTCTTTACGAGATCGAATCAGAAATGAGGAGATCTGTAAACGAGCTAAAGTCGCTGACAGAACCCGACGGATTAGCAAGCTTTAGTGGCACTGGCCAGGGTACATAGCACGCAGAGCTGAAGCTGACGGACGATGGGTCAGCAAAGTTCTGGAGTGGAAGCCACGTACTGGAAAGCGTAGCATCGGATGTCCACCCACAAAGTGGACTGACGACTTATTATCAAGTGACGATGTAAGGAGTAATTATGTGCTGTAAGTAGTACGTCAGTCCACTCCTGGATAATCTATTTACCATCACGGAGTTCCACAACCACCGCGAGCCCATAGTGTCGGTGTCGGCGACCGACACCGACGACAATTCGTCGCCGAATGGACGCGTGCAGTTTCACTTGGTCGGGGGGAAGGGACACGGTACGTAGACTTACCATCATCATTTCAGCTATATGACGTCCACTGCTGAATAGGTCTCCCCCAATGATTTCCACAAAAAAACTATGCTCGGTGTTTCTTTACGAGATCGAATCAGAAATGAGATCTGTAAACGAACTAAAGTTGCTGACATAGCCCGATTAGCAAGCTGAAGTGGCAATGGGCAGGTCACATAATACGCAGAACTGACGGCCGATGGAGCAGCAAGGTTCTGGAGTGGAAGCCACGTACCGGAAAGCGCAGCGTAGGACGTCCACAAGGTGGACCGACGACTTATCATCAAGTGACGATATTATTTATGTGCCGTAAGTACGTCAGTCCACCGTTGGATAATCTATATTATTTATCATCACGGAGTTCCACGCAGTGCAGTTTCAGTGCAATGAACGCGTGCAGTTTCATTTGGTCGGGGGGAAGGGACACGGTATGTGATTTTAATTCTATTTTTGTTGAAACAATTGTATTTACTTATCTTACATTGTCATCAGTTGACGTCAGTCATCTGCAAATGAAGGTTTATTATTTATTATCACGGAGTGGAGCACGGAACCCACATGTCGGAGTTCGTGACTTACACAGCGTGGGAACAAGTTTCGTGTATTTATTTTTACCCTGACATTTCAAGCTTTAACCACGCTAATGCTTCAACCACACCAACGCGTGCAGATCGCCATTGCCGGCGCGATCATAGGGAAATGACAGGTCGCGTGAACTGTCATGGGTCGCGCGACGATAAAGCTTAAGATGGGCTGCCGAATACTCTTATTTTTTTAGCTGTGATGACGGGGACTTGTATGCTCTATATCTTATACTCTAAAGTCTAAATAATACAATGTTGTTCCAGAACTATTCCGCTTCGAGCAAGTGGGGGGCGATGCCAACACCGGTCGACTGTTCGCGCGGCAGTCGCTCAAGGATCGCTTCGGGAACTACACGCTACTGGTGGAGGCGAGGGACCTCGGGATACCCCCCAATATCGTTCGCGGAGAGTTGAGGCTGTGTGTCACTGATTACAATGACCATGCGCCTGTGTTTGTGCATCCGCCTCAGAATGTCACTATTAAAGTTCCAGAGGTTAGTTATTCACTAGTTATAGTATATTTGTATGTCTTTTTACTTCTCAAGTGAAAACTAGCAGATTAAAGATAGACCGTGGTTCTATAAGACCATTCAATTTGTTAAAAAAATGTTCTGATATTTTTTATTCCATTTAGAGCTGATTTTTCAATCGCTGGTTAACTTTTACCTGAAGAATAAGTTTGGTACATTGCCAGTTTCAGTATGGGAAATGTGTCAAAATGTCGATTTTATTCCTCAGTTAAAAGATATCCGATAAAAACTTATTTCACTAAGAGCCGGGTAAGAAAACGGTATTTAGGGTCAGTAATGTTCATATTATAACAACATATCGCGCTAAAATAGCTTCATCAACTCCCATCACTGGAAACTTCCCCCTAAAATTCATTTCATTATCTACAGAACGCAACAATCGGATCCCTAGTAGTCGACGTGAAAGCGATCGATGCGGACATCGGCCCCAACGGTGCCGTCCGCTATAGGGTTCGCCAAGACGCGGCCGGCGCCTGGCGAACCTTCACGGTACACGCGACTACGGGAGTGCTACGTACTACTAGATCGCTCGACAGGGACAAACAAACCACGTATCAGGTATACTACCTTCATAATGACCGGGGAACTTCTGCCAAATAGGTATTTCTAACTATAGCCCAGAGTTTAACTAATTACTCGACTGTAGTAATCAATCTTAATTTTCTGTAAAACGTAAAATGTAAACTGAGTTTTTGAAGTTTTGATGTAACATTCATTATTAACCTATACTTTATAGGATGCATGTTGTTAGGTTACAATTTAGTCCATAAGCTTACGTGCTAATAATTTGTGAAACCTTAATTGTAATCTGTTTTGCGTCTTTAATAAATAAATAAATAAATAAATAAATCTTCTGACTGAAAACATCTCGTAATAATTTGCAATAATTAATTTTAAACTTTCGCGTTGCATATGTCAGGCAAATACAGGTAACATCATACACTTGGTACAATATATCAGAAGTGCATAGAATGTTTTGACCATCATGTAAGGTTAAAATATTTCAAAGTCAGCAGCGGTCAAAGTCTCAGCTATATAAGGTCACCTCCAAAAAACAGACGAAATTTTAATAGGGCATCTTAATCTAACCTAATTATATTAGAAAAATTGGACCCTAGCATTAAAACCAAAAAAAACAAGCTAGTTTCTGTTTTTACTTTTCCTAGCAAACTAAATGTAATATTTTTATTTTTAAACCCTCTGTCATTTTCACATTATTTACACAAGCTGCTGGACGTGACGTCATTGTACACGGATGCACTGTCTGGCACGATCGATGCCTCCGGACCGCACTGAGCACTTCGGGTTCACTCGACATAACATCAAAAAATATTGAAAACTGGCATTCTAAAAATATGGTTATATTATCTAAAATGAATTAATTTAAGATGTTTTGTCCCTTAAATATCGTCTGCCTTTTGGAGGTGACCTTATATACATTTTCGTATAATACTAAAGTACTTTCTTTTATTTTCAGCTCAGAATCGAAGCCTACGACCTAGGTCTCCCCACGCCTCTAAGTTCGGACTTGGACCTTACAATCTACGTGCAAAACGTCGACAGCTACCGCCCCCGGTTTCCTCACAAGACCTTCCGGATAAACGTCACTGAGAACCTCCCGAAGTATGAAGTGTACCTCCCGAGTGTGATAGAGAGGGATGAAATAGACAGAGGGGATGAACCGGTGTTGCCAGTGTGTTACTTTATCGTGGAAGGGAACGAAGGAGGCGCGTTCCAGCTGCAACCTAGCACGCACAAGTAAGATGGTTATGATAAAAACGCATAGATAGATAACATTTTAGAACAAGGTTTCGATTAAATTTTTAGAGCACAATCACTTTTCATGACACTTTTTTCATAGAGTAAATCTTGTTTTCCAATTGTCTTCCTTTGAATATGAGCCTATACGAAAAAAACAACTTGACTATGAATTCGTTAGATCCTTAGTTTCAGCCAAATGTCGTCCAGTGCTGGGCAAAGAAAAATTAACCGCCTCTATGGTCTAGTGGTAAGACCACCTGCTTCAAACGCAGAGGTCCCGGTTTCGATTCCCAGTGGGGGCACATTTTTCTGTTCGGTTTGGTTGGTGGTAGGGCTTGTTCTAAGTCCGCCTGGCTAGCTACCACCGTTTCACCTAAGTCTGTCGCCATAACAACAATGTTAACAGCATTGTTGTGTTCCGGCAGTTAGAGGTAAGATAGCCAGTTCCTCCGTGGTTGAGGATTCCGGGTGAAGCTCGCTTCCACCTTCGGCCTGATCGTCACTTACCATCAGGTGAGATACAGGCCAAGAGCTTCCTCGTTGTGGATAAAAAAAGGCCTTCCCACCCAAGAATTTCCATAACGACCGCTCTGCGCTGCCTGCATCCAGATATTTCCCACTACCTTCATCAGATCATTGGTCCACCTAGTGGGAGGCCTGCCTACACGTCTTCCGAATATGAATCAAAACTTAAAAATATCTTTGCTCCCTACAGGTTATCAACAGTGAACTCTCTGGACCGTGAACAGAGGTCGTCCTACAACCTGACCGTGCTAGCGACTGAAGACTGCGTGGCTACTCCTACTTATAACCCCGACACAGATGCCGTGAGCTCCCTGAAAGTGTTGGTCGCCGTGAATGACGTCAATGACAACGCGCCGAGGTGAGTCTAATGTCAAACGGGACAGTGAACTCTCTGGACCGTGAACAGAGGTCGTCCTACAACCTGACAGTGCTAGCGACTGAAGACTGCGTGGCCACTCCTACTTATAACCCCGACACCGATGCCGTGAGCTCCCTGAGAGTGTTGGTCGCCGTAAATGACGTCAATGACAATGCGCCGAGGTGAGTCTAATGTCAAACGGGACAGTGAACTCTCTGGACCGTGAACAGAGGTCGTCCTACAACCTGACCGTGCTAGCGACTGAAGACTGCGTGGCCACTCCTACTTATAACCCCGACACCGATGCCGTGAGCTCCCTGCGAGTGTTCGTCGCCGTAAATGACGTCAATGACAACGCGCCGAGGTGAGTCTAATGTCAAACGGAACAGTGAACTCTCTGGACCGCGAACAGAGGTCGTCCTACAACCTGACCGTGCTAGCTACAAAAGACTGTGTGGCTTCTCCTACTTATAACCCTGACACAGATGCCGTGAGCTCCCTGAAAGTGTTGGTCGCCGTGAATGACGTCAATGACAACGCGCCGACGTGAGTCTAATTTCAAACGGGACAGTGAACTCTCTGGACCGTGAACAGAGGTCGTCCTACAACCTGACAGTGCTAGCGACTGAAGACAGCGTGGCTACTCCTTCTTATAACCCTGACACAGATGCTGTGAGCTCCCTTCGAGTGTTGGTCGCTGTGAATGACGTCAATGACAATGCCCCGAGGTGAGTCATAATATGTCTAAGCAGGTTATCGACAGTCAAATCGATATCAACAGCATTGTGTGTGTTTTGGCAGTTAGAGGTAAATAGCCAATTCCTCTGTGGTTGAGGATCCAGATGTAGCTCACACTTCTACTTTCGGCCTGGTCGTCACTTTCCACCAGGTGAGATGCAGGCCAAGAGTTTCTCCATTGTGATTAAAAGAAAACTCTCTGGACCGTGAAAAGAGGTCGTCCTACAACCTGATAGTTCTAGCGACTGAAGACTGCGTGGTCTCTTTGAGAGTGTTAACGTTACTGTGAATGACGTCAACGACAATGCGCCGAGTTGAGTCTACTGTGAACTCTCTTGGATCGTGAATAAAGGTCGTCCTACTAGGTACCTAAGCGAGAGATGACGCCCACATACAGACCCGACACAGATGTTGAGTTTTTATGTCGAAATAAGTCAAGTTTTTGACCAACGAGTACGGTAAGGTTCCATAGATTCGTAAAAAGTGGGAAATAGATTTTTATTATTACGATTCAATTTGTTACAAATCATCAATTTCTTTTTAGGTTCGTGAAGAAGATATTTACCGGAGGTGTGACCACTGAAGCGGATTTTGGCATCGAGTTTATGCATGTTAAAGTAAGTGATTTTTGACATAACTGGTCGCTGGTCACTAAGCTCTTTAGAGTATTGTATAGGTCGCGCAACGAGACTTGACGCGATCAATACAAGCGAAGATTTATATCTGTTTGTCGCGCTAGCGTCTTGCGTATTCAAAATGTACTTTTTGTCTCGCTTGCAAATATTAGATCAGTGTATGTGTTCACCTCGTTTTCACGTGTATTTTTTGTTTCAAGTTTTTAAATGAATATAATTTTCCTACAGGCTGAGGACGCAGATGAAGGAGAAAACGCTCGCATCAGCTACTTCCTGCTTGGAGAAGTGAAGCAGACCCTGACGGAAGGCTTGGAGAACCTCGCCGTGCAGCCTTTCCTCGTCGACCCTCGAAGCGGGGCCATTGCCCTCAACTTTGACCCCCAAAAGGGGATGAAAGGGTACTTTGACTTCAAGGTAAATACACGACTATTTCCACCTCTTGTTCCAACTCCACTGTAACCAGGATCTACAACTTGACTTGAAAACCCAACCATTATAGGCCAAGATTTAGGTTACAACTTCCACATAAAGGAATAGTTGGTACTTACGACCTGCAAGCTTTCAAGAGGAGAGCGTATCTTCACCTCAAAGGCCGGCAACGCACCTGTAACGCCCCTGGATCTGCGGGTGTCTATGGGCGACGGTGATCACTTCCCATCAGGTGATCCGTCTGCTCGTTTGCCTCCTGTCACATAAAAAAATAAAAAAAACTTGGAAAGTCAGACGCCTGCTGGGTGACTCGTGAAGTCTGATACCAGAATTGTGGTCGCAAAAAATGAGTACATTCTAAAATCATTTAAATTATTGGCAAAATTATTTATTATTATCTGACATAGTTATTTTATCGATTGTTTTAGTGGACACGCATACTTAAAACTTCTTTAACTTTTTAATTAAAACATCCACTCTAAGGCTGGGCACCATCTTACTTTAACTTTGACAAACGTCAAAAATCTGTCAAACTCTATACAAAAAACACCGGTATCGTTAAAGTTACGGTCAAAGTTAGGTGGTGCAAATCAGAGCCCCGATTACGGTAACTTTTAACGTCTACAATCCAGACGCGCTTCATCGATTCTGCGATACGATTGGTCAAAACAGCTGACGTACGCTGTTTACGCTGGCGTACGTCAGCTGTTTTGACCAATCGTATCGCAGAATCAGAAGCGCGTCTTGATTGGAGACGTTAAAAATTACCGTAATCGGGGCTCTGCCTTAGGCTGGGTTGCACCATCTTACTTTAACTTTGACAAACGTCAAAAATCTGTCAAACTCTATACAAAAAACACCGGTTATCGTTAAAGTTACGGTCAAAGTTAGGTGGTGCAACTCAGCCTTACTAATTTAACAGATCGTACTTTCATAAAATTTAAAGTTACCTACTTAATAAAAACATTTTCCGCAGGTGCTCGCAAACGACACAGGCGGTCTCCACGACGAAGCTCACGTGTTCATATACCTACTACGCGAGGACCAACGCGTACGTTTCGTACTACGGGCGCACCCGTCCGAAGTTCGAGACAGAATACACATCTTCCAAGAACAATTGGCTCGTGTAACAGGCGCAGTAGTTAACGTAGATGATCTTAGAGTCCACGAGAATAAGGACGGATCGGTGGATAATACTAAAACGGATCTGTACTTGCATTTGGTGAATGGACAAGACCATTCTGTGTTGGAGGTGCAGCAAGTGTTGAAGATTGTGGATAAGAATATCGAGCAGCTGGATGATTTGTTTAAGGTAACTACGAATGATGACAGGAACCTTATTGTTATTTATTAGACTGAAAGGTATTTAATTTCAATTTCAATTTAGTTTTGCTTAAATTTTTTTTATGTTGTTTTGTGTCAATGAATAAAATATTTCATTTTCAATTGGTTAGGGGACAGTAAATGTAATAGATATCCCGTCAAATTAGACACTTGTTGCAAAAATAAACTGAGGGCAGTTGAAATAGGTGTTTTTATCACTAGTTCTGCTAGTATGACGCGTGTCGTATGACGTCACGCTTAGTTAGTTCCATACAATGCATAAATTTTTTTTTTTTGTTTTAATTCAAATTTCAATGCTTGTTTTACATTTTATTTAGGGTTATTCTCCTTCAGTAGAGATTAATGACCTATGCTGGTTTAATGTATTCAATCGAAGTCCGTCCGTCAACTGTCTGTTGTTGGTCAAAATATGTGCGGTTTTCTATGTTTTTACATTTTCAAGACTCGTTTTTACGTCATTTTCAAGATTTTCGAGATTATTTAAACAATATTAAACTGTAAACGCCTCGAATATTGTGGATATTTAATCTAAATTGAATTAATTAAAGAAGAACGGTCACGCCCCATACAAAAAAAACCCAGACCCGACAGAAACGAGACATACCTCAGTTTTTTTGTCATGTCTTAATTAGTTAAATTATATATTTTTTATATTCGAAATCTATGTATAACACCAAAATATTACCCTTTGTTTTTGTTCAGGCGTTATACAAAAACTAACACAAAATGCCTATTTATCACCAAAATTAGGAAATGTATGTATCTAAATGTCTATTACAGCTGCTATGGAATGTATCTAGGTGACCTGGAGATACAGCCGGTTTATACAGGGTGATTATACATATGGAACGATAAGTGATCTCACTCGATTATTTCTAAACTATACAAGATATCGAAAAACTAGTTACTGATTCTGAAAGTGCTTCACAAGCTCTTTCAAATGATACCAATAATAGGTTACAGATTATGGAAGCTGGTAACATTGAATTTTTGGATTTTGTAACTTCTCGTTTCCACCCTGTATAATCCGGCTGTATCTCCAGGTCACTTAGATACATTCCATAGCAGCTGTAATAAACATTTAGGCACATACATTTACCAATTTTGGTGATAAATAGGCATTTTGTATTAGTTTTTGTATAACGCCTAAACAAAAACAAAGGGTAATATTTTGGTGTTATACATAGATTTCGAATATAAAAAATATATAATTTAACTAATTAAGACATGACAAAAAAACTGAGGTATGTCTCGTTTCTGTCGGGCCTGGGTCACAGATGACCGTTCTTCTTTGACAGTTGAATTGAAATCCGAATTTGGACAAGGATTGAATATGGGAAACGGACTTTGGGTTAACTTTATAAACAAGCCTTTTCACCTACAGGAGTTCAACGTGCTAGACACGCAACCAGCGGAGTACCAGCCGCTAACGGCTGAGTCGCTGTCGGCCAACCAGGCCGTGTTCTGGCTGGTGTGGAGCACGCTGCTGCTGGCTGTACTGCTGCTCCTGGCGCTGCTCACGTGCCTCTCCCAGCGGGCTGCCTACGCGCGCCGGCTGAAGGCCGCCACCGCCACCGCCTACTGTGAGTACTGACCTCTAACAAACACAGGACAGAGTGCGCCTACTGTGAGTCACCACTGGCCTCTATAAACACTGGACAGGCTGTGTCATTACTGGCGCTGCTGATGTGTCTCTCCCAGCGCGCCGACTTTAGGCCGCTACCGCCACCGCTTACTGTGAGTCACTAATCACTGACTTCTAACAAACACTGGACAGGCTGTGTCATTACTGGCGCTGCTGATGTGTCTCGCAGCGCGACGACTTTAGGCCGCTACCGCCACCGCCTACTGTGAGTGCTAACCGACCTCTAACAAACACTGGACAGGCTGTGTCATTACTGGCGCTGCTGACGTGTCTCCCCCAGCGCGCCGACTTAGGCCGCTACCGCCACCGCCTACTGTAAGTCACTAACCAGGCTCAAAGCCTCCACCGCCACCGCCTACTGTGAGTCACCACTGGCCTTTATAAATACTGGACAGGCTGCATCATTTCTGGCGCTGCTGACGTGCTTCTCCCAGCGCGCCGACTTTAGGCCGCCACCGCCACCGCCTACAGTGAGTCACCACTGACCTCTTAGGGGAAAGCCACACGGTGCGTTCCGGCGCCGCACCGCAGGCACTCCACACTTCGATTGAGTGAGACGGTGCCGTTGCGGCGCCAAGAGGCGTACAGTGATGCGGCAAAATGTTTGCGGTGCGGCATCTCCCTAACAAACACTAGACAGGCGGCCAACTAGGCGGTGTTCTGGCTGGTGTGGAGCACGCTGCTGCTGGCTGTACTGCTGCTCCTGGCGCTGCTCACGTGCCTCTCCCAGCAGGCTGCCTACGCGCGCCGGCTGAAGGCCGCCACCGCCACCGCCTACTGTGAGTACTGACCTCTAACAAACACAGGACATCACTAACCACTGACTTCTAAACACTGGACAGGCTGCGTCATTACTGGCGCTGCTGATGTGTCTCTCGCAGCGCGCCGACTTTAGACCGCTACCGCCACCGCCTACTGTAAGTCACTAACCAGGCTCAAAGCCTCCACCGCCACCGCCTACTGTGAGTCACCACTGGCCTTTATAAATACTGGACAGGCTGCATCATTTCTGGCGCTGCTAACGTGTCTCTCGCNGGCAGCCGAGCGAGCATGGCATGCCGGGTATATGTTACGCCAGAGCGGAAGGACCGCACTTCCCGCAGCGCCGGAGATAAGGCAATCCTAATGCTTGCTTGCATGCATGCTTCCTTGCTGCTTGCTTGCATGCTTGCTTGCTGCTTGCTTGCATGCTTGCGTGCTTGCTGCTTGCTGCTTGCTGCTTGCTGCTTGCTGCTTGCTTGCATGCTTGCTTGCATGCTTGCTTGCTGCTTGCTTGCTGCTTGCTTGCTGCTTGCTTGCTGCTTGCTTGCTGCTTGCTTGCTGCTTGCTTGCAGGCTTGCTTGTTTGCATCCTTGCTTGTGCTTGCTGCTTGCTGCTTGCTTGCTGCTTGCTTGCTGCTTGCTTGCGTGCTTGCTGCTTGATTGCATGCTTGCTGCTTGCTTGCATGCTTGCTTGCTGCTTGCTTGCATGCTTGCTGCTTGCTTGCATGCTTGCTGCTTGCTTGCAGGCTTGCTTGTTTGCATCCTTGCTTGCATGCATGCTTACATGCTTCCTTGCAGCTTGCTTGCATGCTTGCTGTTTGATTGCATGCTTGCTTGTCTATTTATATTTAATTTTGTTACTTATATTTTATGTGTATAACATTTTTATATTTCATATTTGTTGAAATTATGGTATTTTGTATATTATGAAAGGTAATATTTATGGCATTGGTTTAGATGCCAATAAATGTTAAGCCTAGAAATCGTTATTAAAAAAAAAAAAACAAAAAAAATATATACTAAAATATTATTATAATAAAAGTGGTTATGGCAAAAAAAATATGCCTTATGATTTAATCTGTATGAACGTTATGCGAAATGATGAGTACCTATGCCAAAAAACTTTATGCACTCTTAAATTATGACAATATTTTTTATGCAACCGAATATGGACCCCAAGTTAGTATGGGCACGTGTAAGGTGACGTCGCACTAAGCTACATTTAAATAAAATTAATAAGGCTTTTTTATTTTCAAATCGATTTCAATATAGGTACTTTTATAGATGGAAAAAGCTTTAAAAACTTAATTATTCAGTAAGTGGGCTACATTATAGTGCTCTTCAAAGTAGTTAGAGTAGGCGCACACCGTTGATTTTTCGTCGGCCGATAGTTTAGTCGGGCAGTTGATCAGTATGGGATTCTTCATACAAATTAAAATCGAGCACAACTATCGACCAACTAAATCAACGGTGAGCGCCTACTCTTAGTCGTCACATACCATTGACTTATATTTGGGCAGGTCATCCGACGTGAAGCGGACGGAATGGTTCCTGGACGCCTTCCCTGGCTGCATCACCTTCATGGTAACGCGTGGTAATCTGGAAAAAAAAACATATTGAATAATTACCTAAGGCCCGATTCGACCAAACTTTTATCCGAGAATAACTCCTGGTATAACTGGCACATTGACAGTTTCAGTACGGGAAATAGTATGTCAAAACCTCAGATCCTAGAATATGAGGTCAAAACTGACGATTTATTCTGAGATTAATTTAATACTCTTGTTTGGTCGAATCCACCCTAAAGAAATTAATTTTAACATTTTTAACTTACCTTTAATAAAATCCCTCGGTTTCGTCCACCGCGTTGTGTAGTCGGTTGCTCTGCGCCAGTTTGCACAATTTATGTATGAACCGATTTCAGTTGGTAAACAACAGCGGGATTATACAGGGTGTTGGGGAAAGTTAAGTGGCATAACGTTTTATACTTAAGTGGGTAATAAGACCATCGATTTTCAGAAATAAAAAGTACCTAAGTACATCAATTAAATTTCCGCATCTGTGGTCTAGTGGTAAGACCATCTGCTTCAGACACAGAGGTCCCGGGCTTAATCCTAATGGGAGAAGATTTTTCTGTTCGTTTTGGTTGGTGCTAGGGCTTGTCCTAAGTCCGCCTGGCTAGCTACCACCATCTTAGCTAAGTCTGTCGCCAAAACAACAATGAAAACAGCATTGTTGTGTTCCTTCTCTTACCTCTGGCTATCTAGCCAGTTCCTCTGTAGTTAAGGATTCCGGGTGAAGCTCGCTTCCACCTTCCACCTAATCGTCACTTTCCATCAGGTGAGATGTAGGCTAGTAGCTTCCACGTTGTGGATAAAAAAAGTTAACCTTTGGGCTACACAGAAAAAATCTTTTGGCGGTTATTGTAAGTACTATTCCAGTATTTTTACTGCTATATCATGTCGCCAAAGTCAGCAAACGTTTTTTTAGTTTTCCAAAACACGAAACATCCTGTATACGGTATCCCAGCCAGTCGTACTTGGTACGGGCGCGCGTGAGGGTATCGTAAAAAATAAAATCATAGCCGACCATTTTGCCAATGATCTGCCATTTTGGACGGCTTTAAGCAGTACCTTTCTTTAAAGAATTACAGTATTTTTTAAGTTAGTAACAGTTATTTTGGGACTTAGCCTTCCCTTAACCATGTTATGGGTAGCTTAGGTACTTCATGCATTTTATTTTTTCATGGATGGGCCAATGATTCAGCCTAAAGTTTGCAAGCATGACTTATTTACTTATTTCTCACATTTCTCTAGATTTGGCATCACCAAAACTTTCGATGCTTTTCATTTTGAAAAAAAAGCTTAGGTGATATTAAAAAATCTCATGATGTCACTTGACACATTTAAAACAACAAGCAGCGTTCTTCTAAGGCGTGTCTTGTGATGTCACATTCTTTCTTCTTCTATTTCCTAGTCCTTTTTTCTATTATTTGGGGTCGGCTCTCCTTGTTCTGAGGCGCCAGGACAGTGTGTCCTGTTCAGCTAATAACATAAATAAGTTTAAAAACTTGTATCTCTTTTATTTTCAATCTGATTTTAATTGTGAAATTCGCACATCCACATCTAGACACTGTACTAAATTGTTTATTTATTAAATTATGATTATTCCCTGTTGCATATCCCGGTCCAAGTTTGACATCATTTGGCATGGCGGAGTTATGATTAGAGGGCACGCCATGGCGGCACGCACGCTCCCTCGTTACGTTAAGGGCAGGTTATTTGCCTAAATAATGCACAAAAACCCTAAATATCTACCATAAAAAAGCGAAAGGTCACTGACTGACTCACTCATCACGAAATCTCAGAAACTACAAGTGCTAGGTGTCTCAAATTTTGCATGGGGCTTTTAGAACGTAAGGTGCTCCTCACTAAGACGGGATTTTGCAAAATTCAACCCCTAAGGGGGTAAAACGGGGTCCACGCGTACGAAGGCGCGTACACTATCACTATTAATAAACGTGTTAGCAAGCTGAAGTGGCAATGGGCAGGGCACATAGCACGATGAGCTGACGGCCGATGGGGCAGCAAGGTTCTGGAGTCAGGGCCGGCAGCGTAGGATGTCAGTCTGTCACAAGGGGGACAGATGATTAAGTAATTAGTGTTTCTGTGGCTCTAATTTTGTGGTTGACGATTTGCTAGTTGTTGTTGAAGGTTGAGGAATTCTCCCTGTCCTCTCTGCCTACCAACCAAAGTTACAAAAGCTGTGACATATTAATTCCGAAATCGCTTCGTTAGTTTTTGTGGAATTACTTCTGTAGTAAGTAACTGCGCCTTAACATAGTGCTTAAAAGTCGATCATTTGTTTTGGTTTGTCTAATATTGCAAGGTTCAGATTCATTATTCATTTTACGAGTGGGTAATTTAGGAAGACCTTAAATGGTGTTGATTTCCAACAGCCATGCAATCGTTTTTGTTGCTAATATTATTTTTTCTGCGAAAACTAGATGGCGCTGTGTCCATTGTTGGTTTATAGTTTACACCAGCATTTTCCAAAGCGGGCGATAACATTGTGGGCATGGTTTTAGAATATAATCATTCTATTTATTATAAAACAGAGTAACAACAAGCAGAATATCAACTTCACAACTCGTTTATTTTATTCGAAGTGTCGATCG